TATTAAACTCATACTGTGTACTGCAATGTGCTTTCACATCAATAAGGATCAAGTTCAACTTATGTTTAAAGTAACTAATTTAAGGACTGTTCTGATACAGGTTAATATAAACAACTTTGTCTCCAAGTAAAATCTTTGCTAGCTGGATAACTAGAAAACTAAATGCTGTACAGTATTCCTTTTTCTGGACTTTTTTTTTCAAAGAAAATTGGGCGAAAATATTCCTACTAGTCCTGTCAGCTTGAATGCAGCTGAGCCAGCTGGAATAATTTGATGCACTACAGACCACAAGATGATAGATGGCTGCAAATAATGGGAAACAATTAATTGTTTTTCTACTGTATTTAATAAAGATACTGTACTAAGCATTGGACGACACCTGTAATGGGTGATGGCTTCCTGCCCAGCCCAGTGAAAATCAAAACATAATTCACAAGTTTCTTTAAATTTCCTTTATTTTTTCTTATCCCGTCTGGTAAAACAGTGACCACAAACTTGTGTACACGTATTCCTCAGGCTAGCAGAGGTTTTACGATACAGTACTTAACAAAGTTATTTTATACATAATGTATATTAATGCATATTTTAGATGGTATCCACACATATACCTAGAACTTGAGGAACAGTGATGATGCATAATGCTGTAAACAAAGCACAAACCTTTCCTCAAACAAATGTAAGCATTTAATGATAACATCAAGGATAAATAACCAAATCATATTGACCATCTATGGTGAAACATGACAATATAAGGAAGGCACCAATGAGGAGCCCAAATTTACAAAAATGTATTATTAGCCCAATTGGGGACATTAATTATTACCATACACACTCTTTTGCACAGTGAGGCAAATGAATGACTTTCAAGTATTTTTCATTAACTCAGTAATAAGTACTACCCAAGGACTAGTCTGAAACTCTTGCATATTGATCATATTATAATCTATTCATTGCATATACAGTACCAGTAAATTGGCTAGAGGAGGACTGTGGCTCTTAATGCTACTCCTCTTTACAGTTCAGTGCTCTTTTTCTAATTCCTTGTAAAAGCCAAATTCAAAAATACCATTCAGGACATTATATTATTATTTTGAATTAGGTATTCTTGAGAATAATTTATTCATCAAAAAGAGAAAACATTACCTTCATGTATTTAACAAAATACATCTAATATGTACAGTGCAACAAATTCTCATAACACTTTCTTTCCACAAACCTTTCTGGTACGAATGGCTAGCTCACTCTTCACCACTGATGCACCAGCTCAGGAATGCAAGCAGAGGTATGGTCCGACACAACACCCACACGACACTCTGAACTCTAAACCCATAATGCAGGATACAATATTGTCTTTCAATGTAATGGGGACAAGACTTTTTGGAATTTATATTTACTTTCTTTAGGATTACTATTTTCATTAACAGGGAAACTTTGATAGCAGGCAAGGCTTGAGGGATTGTTATTGATCTTATTTTTATTTAGTGGGTCTGGGATACATACTTTACATACACAGGTACAGTATATATACAGTACCGGTATATCCCCCTAACTAACAAAATTCAATTTCTTTAAACCTTTTTCAAATGTGAATACTAATAGATGTAGTTTTCAATAATATAAACATCAAAAGTAGTCAGAAAAATGTAGTTTCCTTACACTGAAATTCTGTACTGTATGTATAACTACTGTACTGTATTATTCTTTACATAGTGGATAGATTTTAGGCCTATGTGGCCATCTTTTACATATTAGATATCAAAATTTGTAACATTCATACATTCAATATCAAATATGGATCAGTATTTAAAATTTACATGGAAATGTATAAGACAGTCGTGACCTGAACCCAACGTACTGTATATGAACTACCACAGCCTGTCCCATCCAAATCTTGATTAAATTTTCCTTACTTATAATTTAATCAACACAATGTTAGTGCCACCATCTTGTTGATATATGTGGAGCCTATACTTATACAGCAGTCACAACAACAGGACATTTACATAAACATAAGTATTAGTTAAATAGAATTTGTTATAAGATTTACCGACAATTTTAAAAGAATATTGACGTAAAAATATAAGATGTAATAATTCTTGAAATGCATTGATCATCACATGAACTGTATAAGGGAAGATATGAGTGAGTGGATTGATGTTTAAAATGTGAGAATAAACAAAATATAATACTTTAATGCAAATACTCAAGATATTTTAATATTAATTACCATAATACGTAAAGCAAGACATAATCATTAGTCATTATATACACGTGAAAGTTATCCTTCCCTTAAAAAAAACAAGAAAATACTGTACAGTTGACAACCCTTTATCCAAAATTCCGAAAACCAAAAGTTTTTTTTTTGTGGGGCAATTTTTTTTTTTTTTTTTAACAGGGATTAGCCCACCCGGGCATAGATCACTGACCCACATCAGGGCCTGGGGGGGGGGGGCGAAAATGTAATAGCCCTATAATTAAGGTTTATATATAGAAGTTATTACAGTTTAAAGCTTTGCCGGATATATAAGTGTAATAGGAATGTGTTAGGGGGTGTGATAACCGCCCGTCAGGCATTATTTCTCAGTATTCCCCGTTCTACCGTCACCTCAGGTTCCATGCGGTCGGAGTGCCTTGCCGCCCGGCCGCCATTATCCCTCTGAGCGTCACATCAGGTGGTGACTACTCCCCGCTATGCTACTGAAGTATGTGGTCTACAGAGCTTGTGGTACTGTAGTATGTGGTCTACAGAGCTGGAGCTACTGTAGTATGTGGTCTACAAAATTACGTAATATTTCCCCCCAAATTCGAAAATCTACTTCCCCGAAAAGTCGATAATCTACTTTCCCGAAAAGTAGAAAAGCTATCTACTTTTCGGGAAAGTAGATAACCAACTTTCCCGGAAAGTAGTTATTTCCCATTTTTATGATACAAATTTCCCGTTTTCTATGATAATCTACTTCGCAAAATTAGGTAATATTTCCCCCAAAATTCGAAAATCTACTTCCCCGAAAAGTGGATAATCTACTTTCCCAAAAAGTAGAAAATCTATCTACTTTTCGGGAAAGTAGATAACCAACTTTCCCGGAAAGTAGATATTTCCCATTTTTTATGATACAAATTTCCCGTTTTCTATGATAATCTACTTCGCAAAATTAGGTAATATTTCCCCCAAAACTCGAAAATCTACTTCCCCGAAAAGTCGATAATCTACTTTCCCGAAAAGTAGAAAAGCTATCTACTTTTCGGGAAAGTAGATAACCAACTTTCCCGGAAAGTAGATATTTCCCATTTTTTATGATACAAATTTCCCGTTTTCTATGATAATCTACTTCGCTAAATTAGGTAATATTTCCCCCAAAATTCGAAAATCTACTTCCCCGAAAAGTCGATAATCTACTTTCCCGAAAAGTAGAAAATCTATCTACTTTTCGGGAAAGTAGATAACCAACTTTCCCGGAAAGTAGATATTTCCCATTTTTTATGATACAAATTTACCGTTTTCTATGATAATCTACTTCGCAAAATTAGGTAATATTTCCCCCAAAATTCGAAAATCGACTTCCCCGAAAAGTCGATCATCTACTTTCCCGAAAAGTAGAAAATCTATCTACTTTTCGGGAAAGTAGATAACCAACTTTCCCGGAAAGTAGATATTTCCCAGTTTTTATGATACAAATTTCCCGTTTTCTATGATAATCTACCTCGCAAAATTAGGTAATATTTCCCCCAAAATTCGAAAATCTACTTCCCCGAAAAGTCGATAATCTACTTTCCCGAAAAGTAGAAAATCTATCTACTTTTCGGGAAAGTAGATAACCAACTTTCCCGGAAAGTAGATATTTCCCAGTTTTTATGATACAAATTTCCCGTTTTCTATGATAATCTACTTCGCAAAATTACGTAATATTTCCCCCAAAATTCGAAAATCTACTTCCCCGAAAAGTCGATAATCTACTTTCCCGAAAAGTAAAAATTCTGTCTACTTTTCGGGAAAGTAGATAACCAACTTTCCCGGAAAGTAGGTCACCCTGTATATTTAAGCCTCTCTCTGTCCATGTAATCCAGTTGCCTCTGAAGATGTCTTGAACAAAGACGAAAGCTAAGGTGTTCCTTTTTCCTTATCTTATCCACGTTTTCATTGTGGATCTACATAAAAAAAATATTATATATATATATATATATATATATATATATATATATATATATATATATATATATATATATATATATATATATATATATATATATATATATATATATATATAGATAGATATATAGATGGACGAGGAAATAACTATATTATAATCACATGGACGAGGGGGTAACTATGTTACAGTCATACGGGTTAAAGACCACGCCCACCCTCCTAGTGCCGGGTTGCAGCACCATGACACAAACACACACCTGAATGAACGGCTGTTGAGGTCAAATCACATAGCTGTATATGTGATTTCGCAAGATAATTTGACTTGTATGTGTACATATTGTATACAGTAAGTCACATAAAAACGTTCATAAAGATATGCTGACACACACATATGCACAGTGTAGTTCAACCAAGCTTTCATATGTTGCGTGTCAGCAAATTACAGGTAACGTTGCTTGTATTTTTCTATAACAAAATTACTGTTACATTTCAAGTAATTTTTCATAATATCTTGGCCAGGTCCAGTATCTGACGTCATCAAATGTGCAATATATGACGTCAAATGTACAATAAGACGTTATCAAGTGTACAGTATATGACGTCATCTACAGAGACAGCAAGATGAAAAAAAAAATCATGAAGCTCTTGTTTTCGACACGGCAGAGTGAAGTACGACCGAATATATCGTAATTTTTCCACTTCATAAGCTAGAGCTTCGAAGACTGATGCCCATACACCATTATCTGCCAATGCATGACCCTCACAGATGAGACCTTCACGCTGATTGGCTGGAGAGCTGGTATTTGGTAGATGATTGGTGGGTTGTGACCCTCCGTTGCCAGTGGCGTGTTGCCTCTCACTCTCACTCGTTGTATTAGTGACGTTGGCGGGCCTCTTCTGACAGTTGTGTTCCTACCATCCTCGTGTGACCATCATACTGTGCTACCTGCCCCGCCTGTTGTACCTGTACCGACACAATACCTACTTACAGGTACGTCATTGTTGTACCTGTACCGACACAATACCTACTTACAGGTACGTCACTGATGTACCTGTACCAACACAATACATCTCTTGAGTGGTTTGACCTGCAGCTGTCATTATGTGGTGCGACCTGCGGCTGTACTTATGTGGTGCGACCTGCGGCTATTATGTGGTGCGACCTGCGGCAGTTATTATGTGGTGCAACCTGCGGCTGTTATTCTGTGGTGCGACCAGCGGCTGTTATTCTGTGGTGCGACCTGCGGCTGTTATTCTGTGGTGCGACCTGCGGCTGTTATTCTGTGGTGCGACCTGCGGCTGTTATTCTGTGGTGCGACCTGCGGCTGTTATTCTGTGGTGCGACCAGTGGCTATTATGTGGTGCGACCAGTGGCTATTATGTGGTGCGACCAGCAGTTGTTATGTGGTTCGTTAAATAGAGAAAAGGTTTCATCTTTAAACTGGTGTGTGTGTGTATCACGTTTATTCAATGTCTCGTTTATCAAATGTCTCGTTTACCCAATGTTTTGTTTATTCAATGTCTCATTTATCTAATGTCTCGTTTATTCAATGACTCATTTATTCAATGTCTCGTTCATCCATTGTCTCGTTTAACCAATGTGTCGTTTATCTGATGCCTTGCTTATCTGGTGGCTTAACTATAACACAACATTACCCCGACAAAAACAATTACTTGCCAGGTCGGTGAGGTAAGAAATTTACTTTCATTTTCTACGATCTGAGTGAGTGAGCGAGTGGGGGCAGAGAGGAGACATACGGTGATGAGGGGTATATAGAGAGATAGAGGAAGACGTCGAAGGGGATCTGGAGGACGAAGGAACGGAGGGTGAAGAAGCTGCAGAGACAGGAAGGCAAGGATGGAAGAGTGAAGGAAAATGTTAAATGTTGGTGAAGAAAGGAGAAGAGAAGAAGGGGATAATTTTGGGAAAGACTAGTGAGAAGAAGAGGTAAAGATGAGGATGGAAGAATAGGAGCAGGAAAATAAGGAAGGAGAAAAGCTGATGATTTTAGAAAGAGGAGGAGGGCGACGAATGGGACGGAATAGAAATTAAAACCTCGAAGGAAAAGTTGAAGAAGGGGAGGAGGAGGAGGGGAGGGGGGATAAGGACCTCGACCGCGAAGACTCGGTCACTTCACTAATTTATTCTTGTTGTTCCTTACCAGACCTGTTCCAGTGACTCGTTTAGTTTATTGAGGACTCTCTCTTCCTCTCTGTACGTATGTATGTATGTACGTGGTGTAATGGTCAGTATGCTCGCCTCGCAAGCGAGCGAACCCGGGTTCAATCCCTCGGCAGGGTGAAAGTATGGGCAAGTTTCTTTACGTCATTTGCCTTTGTCTAGCCAGCAGTAATTGGGAACCTGGATGTTAATCGATAAGCGGAACGTGTTAAGGGGTGATGGTTAGTCAGTGCAGTTGGCGAGTTGTCCGGTCTTCTCGGATTATTCCTTGACACTGGGTCAGTAAAGCTCGTTAACTCAGGGTGTCGCTTTTGTGTTGGCGACAGCTTCTACATCTTAAACAAATTCATGTCTAGGTGGCCCTTTGGCCGGCCATCCTAGTTACACGAAGGGCAGCCATTATGTATGTATCCTACTTTTCGTAACGTGTTTATCAAATGTACCAAACCAAACCTTACCCAACATTTCAGTCCCCCATGTTAAAAAAATCTTGCATATTGACTTCAACTCTCAGATAACATCCTCTCCCCTCATCTCACCTTACTGAACACAACCCAACTCTCAGGTAAAATCTCCCACCTTCACCTCACCTTACTCAACATAAACCACCGCAACAGGTATTGAACACAATACGATTACATTCAACCTAATAAAATTATTGACACAGGATACGGTGAAACTGGATCTGAGAAAGGACCGATAATTCAAGAGTCAAACAGACAGACAGAAAGTTTAAGATAGAGAGTGTGACTATGATAGCTTTCTGAGTTTGGTAAGACTGGAGTATATACAGTACATGTTAGCACACGAGTTCTATATATTATGATCTGCTCATAATCGTATCACAGCTTAAGTGAGCCACAAATAGGCGCCTACCTCACCAGCATAGCTAAACGTGTGATCTGTGTCCTGGAAGCTGGTGACGACAAATGGTGAGGCAGCCCTTGGACATTGGCAGTGTGATAGACAGACCTGGAACTTGTTCTCTGCTTCTGATAATACAGTAGTATAGCGAGTGACACACAGTAGTGATGGGTGACACTGCTCATAGTTCTTTTTTGGGGATTGATTGTCTGTACCTAGTTCGTTTATTGGTGTTTTTCATCAATACCACCTACCAAAAGGTACCTGCGCCGGTCAGAAGAGAATGCAGTTTAGTGCAGTGTCAGCCACGATGCCTACTTACGGGAGTAAGACTTTGTTTACAATGTGTTATATCCACACAGCCCCTAACGGGCAGGTGTGCCATTGGGAAACACTTTTACATATTGTTCGTGGATCATCATTTGCAGTTAGTAGATCTTTCTTATCTATTTCTAATACAACTCATAATACGAGCTTGTGGTTTGCTGTACAAATTTATGATAAATCATAATTTTCTGTGCATTTCCCGGTGAGTGCGCCAGGGGGGAAGGGGGTGTGAGTTCCACACAGGGAAAGAAGTCTAAAGTGTCCTGGACGATAAACTTCCTTCTCTCATCTGAAAATATTTATTCATCCCACCATCTGTTTACTGTATGTTGGCAACATCAGTGAATGCTGACTATATGAATACAAAAAAGAAACTAAAGTAATTCACAGCAGCCATCAACAAGAGTCTGTGGTGGTATCCCAGCGTGTACTACAACATCCTGGTACAGTGGGTTGTTAGATGGAGGCAAAACTGGTCCTGGGCTGTTGGTAGACATTCCCGACTGACCAGTGACGGCGTGGCGTGTTTCACTTCCTGCTTCCTCAGGAGGAAGTTAGTGGTACACTGACACCACCGCCTTCCTCCTCTTGCTTCCTCGAGACGGAGATTGTTGTACCGTCCTTCCTCTTCCCGCTTCCTTGTGAAGGGATCGTAGGTATACTTCCCTTCTGCTGAAGCGATATTTACTTATACTTTCCTTCCTTTTCCCTATTGCTTCTTACATGATTACTAAATGGATTACCTTCTTCCTACAGGAATATTCGTTTTCCTCAACATACGTGCTGTTTTCTTCCTCCTTCTTAACGAGAGTATCAGACATGCTCTCCTCACTCATTCCTGATAGGTAGGTCCGACAGTGACAGCACTTTTCTTTCCACTTCCTCCTACGTGTTTTCTTTCAAAGTCTTCATTCTCTTATTTTTTCCAAAGGAGGAAATTAATTATTTAGGAGCATGTGCATTATTTTTCCTGGTATTAAGGAGGCAGTCGTTGGAGATATGCATCATGGTAATCATTTTTCCTGGTCCACCTCCTGTTGTTGATGTTGCCAAGGGCGGTGTCACCAGCCGACACTACCATCTTCCTGATTTTTTTTTCGTTTCTTCCTCTTCCACAGAAATCTCCTACAGATGGCCTCCGCCGCTACTTACTTGGCCATAACACAACTCCGTTTCTTCCAGGGTGTTGTATTATAGAGTACAATATTTCATGCTGATACTTACGGTGCTGTAAAATATTAAACAAATCTTGTTTCATATTACCACGTCTAAGTTTGGATATAAATGAAACACGAGATAACACTACGATAACATAACGACGGGGTGCACAGTGAGCTAAACGACGAGGAACACAGTGAGCTACACGACGGGGTACACAGTGAGCTACACGACGGGGTACACAGTGAGCTACACGACGGGGTACACAGTGAGCTACACGACGGGGTACACAGTGAGCTACACGACGGGGTACACAGTGAGCTACACGACGGGGTTACAGTTAGCTACACGACGGGGTACACAGTGAGCTACGACGGGGAAGCACAGTGAACTACACGACGGGGTACACGTAGATACACGACGGATACACAGTGAGCTACACGACGGGGTACACAGGAGCTACACGACGGGGTACACAGTGAGCTACACGACGGGGTACACAGTGAGCTACACGACGGGGTATACAGTGAGCTACACGACGGGATACACAGTGAGCTACACGACGGGGCAATACAGTGAGCTACACGACGGGGTAGCAGTGAGCTACATGACGGGGTACACAGTGAGCTACACGACGGGGTACACAGTGAGCTACACGACGGGGTACACAGTGAGCTACACGACGGGGAACACAGTGAGCTACAAGACGGGGTACACAGTAAACTACACGAATGGAACACAGTGACCTACACGAATGGAACACAGTGACCTACACGACGGGGCACAGTGAGCTACACGACGGGATACACAGTGAGCTGGCTACGACGGGGTACACAGAGCTACATGACGGGGTACACAGTGAGCTAACGACTGGGTACAGTGAGCTACACGACGGGAACACAGTGAGCTACACGACGGGGTACACAGTGAGCAACGACGGGGAACACAGTGAGCTACGACAGGGTACACAGTGAGCTACACGACGGGGTACACAGTGAGCTACACGACGGGGTACACAGTGAGCCACACGACGGGGTACACAGTGAGCTACACGACGGGGAACACAGTGAGCTACACGACGGGGTACACAGTAAACTACACGAATGGAACACAGTGACCTACACGACGGGGTACACAGTGAGCTACACGACGGGGTACACAGTAATATTAGGGACATGAGTTGAACAAGTTTATGGCAGTGTGACCTTCACTCTCAGTCGTACATTTTCTTTCACAATGATGACCTTTGTGGGTGTGTACCAGGACTGGTTCTAGTGCAGCTTAGTGAGTGTACCATACTATTTCTAAATAACTTATTGTGTTCCGCATTATTAGTTATTAATTCTCATTACCAACGTTTAGGAACACAGTTAAAGTCATAAAGATTTGTACTTTAAACTTTACCCCTCAACCTGTCAGTATGAAACAAATATCTAACTGGCTCACTTAGACTATTAATG